GAGGGGAGGAGGAGGGGGAGGAGGAGGAGGGGAGGAGGAGGGGGAGGAGGAGGAGGGGAGGAGGAGGGGGAGGAGGAGGAGGGGAGGAGGAGGGGGAGGAGGAGGAGGGGAGGAGGAGGGGGAGGAGGAGGAGGGGAGGAGGAGGGGGAGGAGGAGGAGGGGAGGAGGAGGGGGAGGAGGAGGAGGGGAGGAGGAGGGGGAGGAGGAGGAGGGGAGGAGGAGGGGGAGGAGGAGGAGGGGAGGAGGAGGGGGAGGAGGAGGAGGGGAGGAGGAGGGGGAGGAGGAGGAAGAGAGGAAATTGTGAAAGGGATGTAAATACAGGATTCTTGTGACAAGTTAACACCACAGCCAGGCGTCCCATCACATGCCTTTAATCCCAGCAGTTCGAGGCAGAGGCAGGACGATGTCTCTGGGGTGGAGGCCTTCTGGGTCTCCCGGGAGAGCTGGGGCTGCAGAGAGACGGTGTCTCAGAAATAAAGGAAAACATTTGCGTGTTCCTACAGTTCCTCGAATCCTTTGAACACGTTTCCGACTGTCCTGATAGTTCTGTGTCGCGTGCTGCCTGTAGGGCGTCGTCACGGAGGAATTCTTCTCTAGGACTGGCGGTGTTTGGTGGGGACAGATTATTTTGGTTTCTCGTTATTTTTTCATGGTGATTTTCGCACGTGGATTTCATTTCTTGTTTGCGATTCTTGTATGAGCCCGAAGCCCGCCTCTTCTGGGTGGAGGCCGCGTCTGTTTTCATAATGGATGCGGCTTGGGTGCTTTCTGATTGGTTGTGAAGACTTAGTTGGTCAGAGGGACAGGGTCAAGCCCTAAGGAGCAGAGATGCAAAGGGATGTGCTGGTCCCCAGTAGCCAGGAGGGAAACCTAAGCCCTGGAGCACCGGGAGGGGCCGAAGATGGGAGGGGCCAGCAATATGGAAAGAACCTTAGAGAAAAAAGAACAGGAGACTGAGAGACAGGAATAGGAGGAGACCAGAGTCACCAAACGTGGAACCCTTCAAATGGGGGTGTCTGACTGGGACGGCACCGGGGAGGATTATGCAGGAGCCAGAGGGTGACGGGGTATGATCAAGGGGGAATTGGGATATTTTAGCTGGGGTGGGACCAAAGAGAGGGGCAGGGAGAGAGAGGAAGAAGACGTAAAGCTTGTGTGGCCTAAAAACCCAGAGGGAAATGTGTTATTTCAGACACCCGCTAAAAAAAAAGACAGGAGGTTCCTTTGACTTGTCAGGATCATCCAGGAGGCTTCCAAAATGACACAGGCCATTGCCACAGCCCTTGATTATCTCCAGGAACCTGACGTAACACCCTTTCCTGAAGATAGGACATATTTGAACACGGTACTTGGAGCACTGGAGTCTGAACTGACCTGGAAGGCTTCTCCCCGAAGCCTGCCTGTCCTTAGTTCTAGCAGATACTTTAGAAGCTGCTGGAGGACAAGTTACATCCATTCGAGTATTTGGTCTGCGTGTATGTAAGTGCACCGGTGTCGTGTGATGCCAGAAGAGGTCAGAAGACCACGACTGAGCCCCTGAAACTGCAGCCACTCTGTGGGTTCTGAATCAATGCTTTTAAGTTACATCCATTCGAGTATTTGGTCTGCGTGTATGTGAGTGCACCGGTGTCCTGTGATGCCAGAAGACGTCAGAAGACCACGACTGAGCCCCTGAAACTGCAGCCACTCTGTGGGTTCTGGGGATCGAACAGGAACAGCAGTCGCCCTGAACACCAGTGCCTGCCGTCATCAGCATTTTTAAACCCCCTGTCCTCACAATCCATAAAAGCTCAGGAGCAAATACTGGGCCTCACGAACAGCCAACTTTTAATGATTATCTAATTTAAGGAAGGTCTTTGCTAAATTCTGGATTGGACTTTTAATATCACGATAAGCATTTATAGCCTGTCAGTCCACATGACATTTCTCAAGCAAGAGACGAGGCAGGGGGCACGATGCGGCCCAAGGTAATTCCGGTTGAAAGAAGGACTCAGTCCCGTCAGTGAGGCTATCTGGATTAGAGCCCTGGTTTGCTTTCTTTTAATGTCATAAAACTTTGTGCAAAGCCAGGGTAGGGGACAGTTGATGATTGAGCAAAGCCAGGGTAGGGACTCGAGGCCGGACAACCCAGGCAAGAACCTTAGTGAGTTCATGGACAAAGGTGCTTACTGCTTTGTTCCTCCAGCCTGTGACCAGTCTCCTTTTTGATAGTACCCAGGACCAACTGCTCAGGATGGACAAAAGCCAGAGTGTTGTGGTCCTTCTCACCCCAAGGAACCGTCAAGAAAATGCTTCAAGGACGAAGGCTACCCCATAGAGGCATTTCCCAACCCGGGTTCTGCCTTTCCGGGACTATCAAGCTGATGTCAGAATCCATCCAGCACAATTTTGTGAACTTAACACACAAGCACATCTCCATTAAACCTTTCTCATTTCTGATATCAAAAACTTTTGTTAATATCCGTATCGCATTATGTGCTTACTGCTTTGTTCCTCCAGCCTGTGACCAGTCTCCTTTTTGATACTACCCAGGACCAACTGCTCAGGATGGACAAAAGCCAGAGTGTTGTGGTCCTTCTCACACCAAGGAACTGTCAAGAAAATGCTTCAAGGATGAAGGCTAACCCATAGAGGCATTTCCCAACCCGGGTTCTACCTTTCCGGGACTATCGAGCTGACGTCAGAATCCATCCAGCACAATTTTGTGAACTTATCACACAAGCATATCTCCATTAAATCTTTCTCATTTCTGATATCAAAAACTTTTGTTAATATCCGTATCGCATTATGAAACGTAGCACAGCTTTTAGATTCCCCCAGTCCTTAAAATTTACAGTACTTCTAAAAGCTGAATTTCACTTAAAATAAACCAAAGCCTTTTTACTGTGGACTGTTGTAAACAAAAATAATAACAATAATAATAATAAATAAAATAAATACTTCTTACTCCAAGAGGGAAGAACCAGGTCTCATCCCAGGAAAGCTCGAGCTCCTTTGGTACCCGGGTCCACCTGCCTCCCCAGCCTCCTCCAGCCCTGGACTTGACCTTGGCCCTCAGCATGCAGCTCTCCAACGGGCGTCCACCTGCAGCGCTTTCTGGCCATGCTGACCACCTAGTGCTCCTCTCCGGTTTAGAGGTACAAGTGCTGGCGGGTGCGACGCAGGCTTATGGGGAGAGCGCTGGTGTCTATCACTCCCACATGGAGCACCCGGTGCCTACATACCCAGTGGCCTTTGTGGCCAGAGAACTGACACTGGACCCAGGAGTCCTGTGTGGGCTCAGCCACACGGCCACCAGCAAGATGTCAGGTGCTCTGGCACAGAGGCTGAGTACATCTGAGCTGCCACTTGTGGGTCATACACGTGGGGCAGATATGACACGCCTTTCCTTCTGCTTGGCACCGACCTGCACTCCCGTCAGTCCACACGGCTCCTAGCTGCTGGGTGTTTTACTTCAAATCCCGATAAAATTATCCTAAACGTGCACCTGAGGCCATTTCTAATTTCTCACGCTAACGAGGCTTAGAAGCCACGAATGGCTTCCAACCGAGTCACAGCAGGCACTAATGTCATTGGCGGATCTCACTGTATTTCTCTCCCCTCTGGGGTCCACAGTCACTGTGCTGTTTTTCAACTAGTAGGTTTGGGGGAGGATACCTATTCCGTTCCCTCTATTGTGTCCCAAATGACTCTAGGAATGCATTTCTCTTTCCCAAATGATTTTTCCTATATGACATATACAATGTTTGTGGAATGAATCAAATTCACTGACGATATAGTCTTCAGGCTGAAACACTTTTCCGTATGAACGTCCCGATTAAACCCCCACCCCCCAGCGTAGGCCATAACAGCCAGTCATATATGCTGAAGCCAGTTCACCTGAATTTGAGACCCCAAATGTCCTCAGGTGTGAGTTTATGCGCTAGAGTCTGATTACCCGAAATATCCTCATATTCCAGTGTTCGATACCCACTTGTGTGTCCTGTCGGGTAGATCTGTTTTTTATCACCTCCTGCTGCAGTCCCAGCTAGGACCAATGTTTTGCGAGCAGACACTTGGCCTCTACATTTGGCCCTCACACTATTGACACTGCGGTCAACAGGGACCTGCATTTCCCAAACAGCCTCCTCCTGCTGACAGAAGGCCAAGCACGGGCACCGGGCTGCGGGCTGATATAGTCTTCAGGCTGAAACAGTTTTCCGTATGAACGTCCCGATTAAACCCACACCCCCCCAGCGTAGGCCATAACGGCCAGTCATATATGCTGAAGCCAGTTCACCTGAATTTGAGACCCCAAATGTCCTCAGGTGTGAGTTTATGCGCTAGAGTCTGATTACCCGAAATATCCTCATATTCCAGTGTTCGATACCCACTTGTGTGTCCTGTCGGGTAGATCTGTTTTTTATCACCTCCTGCTGCAGTCCCAGCTAGGACCAATGTTTTGCGAGCAGACACTTGGCCTCTACATTTGGCCCTCACACTATTGACACTGCGGTCAACAGGGACCTGCATTTCCCAAACAGCCTCCTCCTGCTGACAGAAGGCCAAGCACGGGCACCGGGCTGCGGGCACTGGGCTTGGGTTTAGGATTTCTGTCAAATTCTGCAGACCAGGGCGAGAATTAAGGGAGCAAAAGTCAAGATGACACAAACTTTTCTGGGGGCCTTTTGGCCAATAGCACTTTTTGATAGATTCTGCGGGAGGGGGGGTGGACGCATTCTGCAGTGTTTCCCAAGACACTCTCCTGTGTATCTTTCTGGAAGCATTCTCCCCATTCATCCTGAGCACTTAAGACAGGTCTCAGAAACTTTGTTTCCTGTCATCACTAAAGTCACATCTGGCCTATGTTCAATGTATATTTTCTTGTCTGTTCAAAGGACACATATCAATTTTGTTGTACAAAGAACTTCCTAGACTTTAAACAAGTAGATTTCTTTCTCAGTATTTAAATAGGAAATTTGCTTTCATTGCACCCTCTGTTGGATAAATTAAATGCAGAATCCATTGCATAAGAAATTGATTTATTTAGTTATTTAAAGATGTATCTCAAAGTATTGACTAGTAAGTCGATCCGTGTGGCAGAGGCTCCGGCCGTCCAGCTGAGATCTGAAGAAAACGTGAGAGAAATGCGGGAACCATCTCCGTTCCGAAGAGTTGGACTTGATGTCGAGGACGGCTCAGACGCTCTACCTGATCTGTAACAACAGGAAGGATAATGGAAAACGTAGGTGAGCTGATGCTATGGACATAAAGTCTCTGAAATTGTTAAAAAATAAAAATAAAATTGACTGATGAATATGGGTCTCCTGTGACCAGCCGTGTAAATCAACAGCCTTCAGCACGACCCCACCACTAAGAACTGTAACATCAAACAGTGCGACGAAGCAAATGTGCGTGAAATTAGGTTGCATTTGTCCGCTTATCTGATCACATGAGTATGGACTAAATGAAAAAGAGAGTGATTAAAATTGTGAGCAGACAATGTGTTTCTACTCACCCAGTGGACGTCTTTAATCCTCACACGTATCTGTGAACGAGAGTTACGAGAGAAAAGCAAACACAAGTAAATCAGGGGCCTCATTTCCTATATCTAAAGATTATCTTTTAAAAGCTTAACTTTAAAGTAGAAATAAAAGGGCTCGGATTACGTTCCCGGGAGATGGGTTTCTATGTGTACAGGGGGCAGTGACATTACCAGTGGGGACGGCGTCCTGAATGTTCTCCTTCGCGATGCCGTGCTTCTCGGCGATCTGATAAAACTCCTGCACCTGCTCCTCAGTCACCTGTGTCTCCTTCCCTGTGTCACAGGAATGGATGCCCGTCAGGACGCTGAAAACTTACCACGGGTCCCGTTACAACACAGCATGATGAAACCGCCCGGTGGAAACTTCCCGCCCAAGTCCCTCTTTCTCCCACAAAGTTAAGCTGATGGACTAGATCTTCCCAAATAGAGGTAACGGGTTTAATCAAGTCACAATGTGTGGCTAGGGGCCACCGTCCATCCTAAAGACAAGTAGACAAAATATGGATTCTTTGAACTTTAACCACATGATGGTATTTGCATGTACATGTTCTCAGAAAGACACGTTGTGGTTGGGGATGTTGGGAGCGGTCAGCGAGGAATCTGTCCACATTGCAGGGACCTGTTTTCTGTCTGCTAAATTCCAGAATGCCTTTCCCGGTGTCCTTGATCCTACTGACATGAGCACAGGATATAGATCAGCCCAGCTCAGACACTGTGAGCACCGCCGTTTGGTGACAGGAAAATAAAATTTTAAGAAAGCCCTCCCTCCACATGCCCAAACAAAGGCTGGATATGAATCTACTTGAAATGTTGCTGCAATTCCAACAATTGCAATTCCATCTCAGCAATTCAGCCCTGGACCAAGTCCTAGGTCAAGAGCGTTTATGCTCACGAAGGTCACCGTTATGCAGTGACCGTCCCACATTGATCGCTTGTGGAGGAAGCAGATTGCTTCAACTACGTCACTATTTAACGAATTCTCACAAAAATGAGAAATCATGACACGGTCTCAATTATAATTATCTACTAAATGCAGGTTTCCAGTCTTTCTACCTCAGCTCCCAAAATGCAATTGCTGTGGTGCGAGAGTCTAGGACTCAGTTCGTGGACCGTGCTCATAAAAGAGATTTCTGCATCAATTCTATTCCTGTCTCTGAAAGAACTCAGTGGACAAGGTTTTCATTCCAACAGGAAGCAACAAATTATGATAAGCTCAGTGTGGAAGTTCACATCTCGTCGGGGAGCGTGTTCTGGACACACACAGTGAACACAGAGCAACGCTCCCCCGTCTCCTTAATTGTAAGCCACGCTGACATCCATGTTTCCGCTGTTATGACATGTGCCGCACTCACCGATAAGCGTGATCATGTGTGTAGTCTTTTCCTCTGGGTCCACATTAACGTTGTACACGGACATGAGCTTTTCTGTGAGCGGCAGAACTTGGAAGGTGCTTAAGCCCGTTTCTTCGGCTGAAAGAAATGAAATCAACACACGATGTTATTTTTCATTTATATTTACAGAGGTTCTAGGTTTCTCATCGATGAAGGAGAGAGTAAGGAAATCAAATAAAATGATATGGTCAATTTTTATACATTGAATATACTGTAAAATTGCCCATGTGTGACGATCACATGAAATACATTTTGTAAGATGTCTTTAATAACAGAAGCACTTCCTAGGATCCGGGGAGACTTCCCAATCACTTCCCAATCTCTGCATCTTCCTGAAAATGCTTCTAAGGTGTGGTAGGGATTGTCCACGTTCTGTCAGTGGTTGAAAACTAGTGAATCATAATGTTCCACAGCCCAGGGTTCAGGTGCTGCGGCTACAGCACGGTTGTGGACACTTAACCAGACATGGGTCCACACGCTACCTACATCTATTGAACTCAATCCTGGTTTCCACAACACGTCATCACGGGAGTCCCGCACTCACCGTATATGGTGTAACTGCCTTCTGGTGTCCGCTGGCCCACGATGGTGATCAGTGTGCAGTTCTCCCCGAACCTAAAGGACAGAAAACAGGGCAGTGCTTGTCACTCATACGTATTCCCAGAGCACTCAGGTTGAAGAACTGTAGAAAAGACTATGTTTTATGTGCTAAGTATGACAAAAGCCTTCATACACCTCAGTCTTCAATGCTGAGTCCTTTATTTTGCATTACTTTGTTGCTGGCACTAACAGCTGTGGAAAATTATAATGTTGACATGCAAAACTCTTTCTGCAGGTAAGAAGGGCTTGTGTGATAACATCCCTGACTGGGCAGTTCCAAGCTGCCCCGAGCCGGTAAAGGTCACTTACTTGATGTAAAAAGACAGAGTGACGTTCTCACAACTTGGGGTGCATTCCATGTGGCGGTAGTAAGCTCTCAGGGGCCCCCCTTCGCTCGTCTTCTCCACGTTGTCCGCTCCCGTGTAGAGCGTGCGCCAGTCCCCATCCACCTGCAGGGGAAGGTCAGTGCAGATAGTGGGTATTTCTTCACCAACGCACAGTATAACTATCACTTCTAATTTACCTCAATTGAAAAAGTATACACTCTGCCCATGTGATGCAGGCCGCTCCTTCTCTCAGTGTAAAATCCTGCACCGTCTTGTAATAATTCTAACTTACATGAGAAGCTCTGATATCATGGTTTGAAATAAATACCCTCATGTTATGCAAAGTATACAGTCTCTAAACCATAACATTTTATCTTAGAATCATCCACAGGCTGAATAAATTTATGGGGCTGTGCGATGCATACAAGGAGAGAACGAGGATGGGTGTGAGAATGGGGGAATATGAATCATATTGACTGTCATTGAGTTAGAACCGTGTGTGGAGGATGCTGGCCCTGAAATACGCAGCGTGGACATGTATGACCGTGAATTTCCAGTCCCCCTCCCTGCCCCCGTCAGTGCTGGGATTCCTGGGCGGCACCTGCACTCCCTCTCTGTGCTGTGCTGGGAATGAGATCAGGATTTCATTCCTGCAACACGAATCCTCCACCACAGCATTTCTTTGACATGTCCATGCACATTAATGTCACACACACACACACACACACACACACACACACAAACAAACAAAGTGCCCCCAGATGAAGTCATGCTCATACCTGCTCAGGGGTGAGCTCAGGAAGCTCACCATAAACCAGACCCAGCACCAGAGTGAGCAGGAGAACTTTCATCCTGATGGAGCCTGTGTGTCTCTCTCTCGTGGAGATCTCAGAGCAGGTCCGTGGGTGGAGAACGGCTCAAGCGTCCTGGCTTTTATAGGAAACAAACAAAGTGCCCCCAGATGAAGTCATGCTCATACCTGCTCAGGGGTGAGCTCAGGAAGCTCACCATAAACCAGACCCAGCACCAGAGTGAGCAGGAGAACTTTCATCCTGATGGAGCCTGTGTGTCTCTCTCTCGTGGAGATCTCAGAGCAGGTCCGTGGGTGGAGAACGGCTCAAGCGTCCTGGCTTTTATAGGACTCAGGTCTGACTTGTAATCGAGCAAGAATTCATCAAGAATTCCTGTTAACGTTTCCCCCACACCTCGTGGTTGTCCGTGATGATTTCTGTGTGACTTTGTCCCAGTTTGTTCAGGGGATTAGAGTTAAGATCAAACAAATGCCCAGGGGCGAACTTTAAGAAGACTCCGGACGTGACAGACGGACGAAAGATACACATATTTGTGTCCCCAAAGTCCAGGTGTCCTAGGAACCGAGAAGTTCAAAACACGTTTCTCTAACGGGGAGTGATTTTCTCCTTACACTTGGAAGAATATTCTTAAATTGATTTTCTGAAAATAAATAGCAGATAGCTCCGTTTTACTAAATTGTATCATTAGACCTTCATATCTTGAATCATTGTATCTTTAGAACTTTAGAGCCTGAAACAAGACATCATTAGTACATTACAGCCTGAATCATTATGTCCTCAGAAGTTTCTACCCTGAATTAGAGGTTTCAAAGCATTTCTCAAGAGGAGTATTTCTACAGTTTTTTAACAGAACCAAAATACGTATCTGTGGCCTGAAGACTATCAAGAGAACAAACCATTTTCTGATTTGATCTAGTCCCCTTTAAAGGAGGATGTTCATGACTGGTAAATCTTAGCGCTCGCCTGTTGTTAGGGAGTTCCTAACCCCTAGTGGTCACCTTACTACTATTTATATTGATGAATGGACAGACTATCAAAATGATTTCTAAAACTTGCTCTGTGTACACATAGATCCGTGTGGCTCTCAGTCCTCACACAGCTGCTCCTCTGTGCAGTGCACTTGGTTAACACGGCGACTCAAAAATAGCTAAACCACAGAGAATCTGTATTCCTACAGTGCTCAGAGTCAATCTGACATGGATGTCCTTCAACCACGGCTCAGGGAGCGTCAGGATTCTGGGAACAGAAAGATCAAAAGAGCCAGAGATCAGACCCGACCGGCTCCCTTCGAGCAAAGCCTTAAGGACCCGACAGGACTGTGGCACTGATAATGAACTCCGATCAGCTGTGGCTGCTTGCAGGCGACCTGAACCACCTTCATCCAGTGAACATTTCTGCACGCATGAGGGAGAGGCACAAGGGACCCTCCTTCTAGTTGAAGAACGTGTGATAGTTGGCAGACGTGGGGGTGAGGGTCAGTTTTCTTCATGGCCTTGTTGTAGGGAACGTTGAACTTGCTACACAGGATGGTCCAACACACATAAATATAAGGGCAGAACTGACTGGACTGAACTTGTCATCAAAGCTAGAACAAAACATGAATCTGGGACATATGTGGAGTGGAATCATAGGGGGACTGCTGCTGGGCTATGAATACGGATGTATTACTTTTATTCAATTAACAGTCAGTGGGCATCTGTCTCACCGCCATAAACAAAACTGAGCATTCCTGTTAAAGACTCTGTCTAGAAGGACGCTTTCCACATTTGCGATGTCAACCCATGAAATAAAGCATTTTTATAATCATTTCCATTCTCATGAACAATTGGAGAATTTCCAGTACTTAATGATTCAACTTAACACCATATACGTATGTCGTTATAATGAAACAGTGTTATACTTTGTTCTAATTTTAGTTTATATTTTGTTAACAAAAGGCATTTGATCTTTTTAAAACTGAAAAAGAGAACAAACGGTTCCTTTTTCTGAAGAACAAGCGTAGAGGTGGAAGGAAATTCATCAAAGGAGCTTGCTTTGTGCAAATGTCAGTGATGATTACAGACTGGCAGAACTGGTCAGGTGCAGAGCTATGTGTCTGTGGGTGCCCTGCAGGAGCTCACGGACCCTCATGAATTGGAGACAACCTGAAGCGTTTCTCTCTTTTCTGCTTCTCCTGTTTGACTCATAACTAAGCAATAGTTCGTCGTGAATCCCTGTTCAAGTTTCTCCAGAAAATCGGTGTCCGTGATGATTTGTGTTTGACTTTCTGCTAGTTTGTTGAAGAGATTAGAACTAAGATTAAGCGGATGTGCAGGGTTGAACTTTAAGATGACTTTGGGTGTGAGAAATGGTAAAAGATAGCGATATTTGTGTCTCCAAAGTCCAGGTAGTCATAGGAACATCAAAGGAAGTTCAAAACAAGCCTCTCTAATTCTGATTTTGCCCTTATATTTGAGAAAATATTCTTAACCTCACTTTCCAAAAATAAATTGCAGGGATCTTGGTTTTATTAAATTATGGAATTAGAACTTTATATCCAGAATCATTGTATCCTTAGAATTCTATCGTTTGGGTCATTGTATTCTTAGAAATTTATATCCTGTACCAGGATATCGTCAGAACTTTGTATATTGAAGCGTTATATCATTCTTACGTCGTAACCTGAGGCATCACCTCCTTAAAACTTTACATTCTGAATTGGACCTGTCAAAATGTTTCTCAAATGGAATATTTCTAAATTTTTTTGAACAGAATCAGACCCTGCATCTGTGGATTAGCAAAAGTGGCATAAACAGTCCTGGGAAAACCAACCATTTTCTGATTTGATTTAGTTCCCTTTAAAGGACAGTCATGACTGGTTCTGTAAATCTCAGGGAAGATCTGTGGTTAGTGAGCTCCTAACGCCTAATGGTCAGATTACTACTATTTATTTTGCTAAACAGACACTGTATCAAAGTGATTTCAAATAATCCCTCTCTGTAGACATATGTGAGAGCAGCTCTCAGTCCTCACACGGCTGCTCCTCTGAGCAGTGTGCTTGCACTCAAATCTGGCCAAACACAGAGAATACGTATTAGTAGAATGCTCAGTCGTGAACGTGACATCCACGTAACATGCCCTTCAAGCACGGTCCAGGAAACACGATGGAAACAGACTGGATTGAGTCCTGTCAAGCAAAGTCTTTGTGACCCGACAGGACGGTGGCACTGATGAACTCCGATCAGCCGTGCTTGGTTGCAGGAAACCTGAACTAGATTCATCTGGTGTCCCAGGCAGATTTAAGGCAGAACTGACTGGACTCCACTTGCTATAAAAGTTACATCAGAACTTACAATTCAGTCAGATACGGAGAGTGATCTTACAAGGCTTCTTGATGAGCTGTGACTATGCATATGTTACTTTTTCCGTGTAAGTTGATGGGGATCTCTTTCTGGGCTTTCAGTAGAATGCTCAGTCGTGAACGTGACATCCACGTAACATGCCCTTCAAGCACGGTCCAGGAAACACGATGGAAACAGACTGGATTGAGTCCCGTCAAGCAAAGTCTTTGTGACCCAACAGGACTGTGGCACTGATGAACTCCGATCAGGATCAGCCATGCTTGGTTGCAGGAGACCTGAACTAGATTCATCCGGTGTCCCAGGCAGATTTAAGGCAGAACTGACTGGACTCCACTTGCTATAAAAGTTACATCAGAACTTACAATTCAGTCAGATACGGAGAGTGATCTTACAAGGCTTCTTGATGAGCTGTGACTATGCATATGTTACTTTTTCCGTGTAAGTTGATGGGGATCTCTTTCTGGGCTTTCAGGATTCTAAAGGATCCTGACTGTTCTTTTAAAGACTCTGGGTAGAGCTCTGCTTTTTACATCATGGCCATTTTTACTGAGG